GCCAGAACACACGACCTAGCGAGTAGGCGCAGCAAAACCGAACTTGCACGTGCATACTATTTTCTTCTTTAGTTGTGAGCAAGGGGGGGTCACGGCTGATTATGTAAGCGCCCAGGAAGCGTTCTTTGAAAACGTGCCAAATAGGGCACTGACACTTCAGCGTGTCACTGTGTTCAGCGAGCGTTCCATTTTCTTAGTATCCTCGGCGGTCGGTACCAACAGTGCTGAGGCGGCCCAAAGAGCTTCGTCGCACCCTCTGGTCCACAGTCGGGTGCCTATAGTTGCGGTATGTTAGTGTCCTGCCTTTGCTAGCCTAAAACATAATGCCCCACATTTCCGGTCCTATAGAATAAGATGATTTACTTAATCAAAGGAGGCTTCTTCTACTTCAATAAAATTAAAACAAAAAAAGCAGCGGGCGCTGACTCTTACACTGGCGGTGACGTTGACGCTGGCGCTCGTCATGGCGTTGCGCAGGAGACAAACCTCGGGAGGCGCAAAACACGCAATGATGGACCGCTGTTTCCTACTGGAACATGCTAATCACTGCTAATGGGCAATGAGAGACAGACGACGTCGATTTGACACAGACCCAGAGTCTGCTTTTAGATAACGCGCGCACGCACGGGAAAAACCCCCCACCGGCATTACCTTGAAGGTCAAGATCCGGTGTCTGTATATAAGGGGTGGCCGGTGAACAGTTGTTCAGCGCGAGCAGTCAGTTTTCAGATGCGAGGCAGCTCTTTGACTAGCCAGTGTAATGCTGTCCATCCATGTCTCCGTGCCAACGATCCACACCGCGTTGCCCCCGCCGCAGTTGTTGGAACAATGTCAAGTAGGTCATGTCACAGCAGCACGTTGACGTCACACTTTCCCTCACCTACAGCGGCTGCCGGCTCCCCCAACGCACCTATAGGTAGTGTTGCTCCTCCGCTCACTCACAACGCACTTCTATAGAGAGTTTTAGTACTGCGGAATGGTGCTACGTACGCATCACGCAAGCGCCTTGCGATACGTGGCGTCGTTTGCCACTAATCGGCTTTTAGTACGCCGTAGTACCCGCGTACGTAACGAGCGTGAAGCGTGTTGCGTCATCTGGTAGATCAAAATAGAAGCACGTGTTGTTGACAGCCAATGAGAGACAATCCAAGTGTTATAGCCAGATTATGGCCACATTTTAAGCCAGAGCCGGTCGGTGCTTGCCTTCGATGCCGCCATTTTGCAAAACGAAGTCTCGCGCTGTCGCGAACTTGTTCGAGAGCGGCGCGATCAGCTCATACGTACGCACGCACGCATCTCATGCGTGCGTTCGTAGCGACTGCGTACGTAACGCGATACGTGCGCGTTGCGGTCTGCGCATGCGCACTACGCAGAACGTGGCGTCCTTACGTACGCAACGCCGCCACGTACGCAGCGTACGCAGTACTAAAACTCTCTTATCTCGCTTCACCCACGCCACCGCCCGCAACGCTCGACCACACGTGAGTGGAAACACTCTTTCGGCTCGTTTATCTGGGATGAATTACGAAACCTATCTCACCTCCCATGCCTTTGCGTTTCAAAAAAACGTTTACTCGAGTAAAGGCTACGCCGAGTTTCGCTTCAAACCGTTCTTCAAGCACCCGCGTCGACGCCCGTTTCAGCCAGATTGATTGATTGATTGATTGATTGATATGTGGGATTTAACGTCCCCAAACCACTATATGATCATGAGAGACGTCTGGAGGGGTCCGAAAATTTTGACCACCTGGGGTTCTTTAACAGGCACCCAAATCCGAGCACACAAGCCTACAGTTCCGCCTCCATCGGAAATGCAGCCGCCGCAGCCAGGTTTCGAACCCGCGACCTGCGGGTCAGCAGCCGAGTACCTTAGCCACTACAATACCGCAGCGGGGCTGTTTCAGCCGGGTTAACGGCGTGCGCACCGCTGCTGCTTCGCATTCCATCATGGTTCCCTTCGTGGAGATGGTCCATATTATTTTTTCAATCAAGGAACTCGCTAGCAAACTCTGCCTACTTCGGCGTTGCGATGGGAGAGAGAGGGAAGCGGAGAAGAAGGGACGCGTATGCGCAATCGGGGTGTAAACGCTGCGGTGAGGAATGTCTAGAGGAGGAGGGGGAGCAAGCGCAGGTAAACCAGACGCTCCATGCGTCGGCATTGCGAGGAAAGAGAGGGTGGAGCATAGGATAGGAGAGAGAAGGGGAGCGGACGCACACGCGCAGTAAGGGTGATCACGCCGCACACCAGATTGAGCTCGAGACCTAAGCTGCTTCGCATATAAAAAACAGACGGCTTCCAAAGTGTGCCATGCGACGCTGTGACAACGAAACGTACGTGCGCCTTATCGTGTAACAGAGCTGCACACCGCTAGGGGCACTTGTGGCCTGCTGCGGGACAACCTGCGTGTTATTAAGCGAATGTTGCCATGGCTTTGAAATATTGTCAGATTATTCCTCTAAAGAAAAATAATGGTAACATATCCACGGAGTGAATGATGGAGAGTGGGGCGAAGCATCCGTCCATCCATTCGTTCTTGCTTCCATCCATCCACGCGTGCGTCTTCATGCGTCCATCTATACATGCGTCCGTCCATGCATCTGTCTGTGTGTCCGTTCGTCCACCTATTCAACACTCCAAGTACCACCATTTCGCATCTTTTCATCATATATTCCTCATATAGAAGCACCGCCATTTAGCGGACATTCCAAGGACTGAACGAGAGGAGGCACACGCACACTTTATTACGGCTTGCACTTCGTGTCTACTTCCCACCTTTAACTCCCTCGAGTTCATGGTATATACTAGTTCACTGTATTCATGGCACTGCGGCCCAACGCTCGCTAAACCTTTCTAAAACCTAGGAGGCCCAGCGAGTATAACGTAGCAACCCTTTCTTGTCTTCTGTGCGTTGTTCAACAATAAAAAATTCGCAGCGTGCACGTTAGCTAAAAGCTGAATTCTCCTGTCTCTCATTCCCCTTAGCAGCCACTGTCATGAACATTGAGCATTATCTCTTATTGTTCAACAACGCACAGAAGAAATCTCTCACTGGCACCACCTTGGAGGTCAAAATGTTATACTTGTTACACACTACTAGACCGGCTACAAGGGACGACAGGTGCTGCTATAAGGAGCTTCACCCCTAAAGAACACCTGGCGTACAGAACCCATAAGGAAGTATCATAGTGTTTGGGAATGCGTTGTGCATCATTTTATTACGGCCTTCTTAAAAAGGCACTTCTAGCTTTGATACCGAGGGGGTGGCTTCTCACCGACGTGTCAGCACGAGTGTGACAACACGAGGAAACAAACTCGCGATGCACTGGCAGCAGCTTTGCCACTCGCACGTAAACAGCGATGAATGTCGTAGTCGTCGGTGACTACAATAGCGATTTCTGCGATTTAGGCTGCGTGCAGAATGCCGAGTTCGCAAACTCAGTGGAACTGTGTTGACACGTCATCATGTTGTCCGTTGCGATGATGCTGGCTCGCATTTTGAGTTTCCTAAAATTAAATAAAGGGTACTCTGGCGCTGCAATTGATCATACGCCATGGGAACAATAAGAAGTACACAAAAATAACCTATAGTATTTGTGCTTGCTGGCTTTGAACGCATTTGTGGCTGTGTTTATAGCTGCTTTGGTTTATTCGGAATATAAGAACGGACCGTTGTGTCGCGGCGATCGACAGATATATGTAACACGATTTTTTTCATTAGGGATCCAAAAGCACATGCAAATCCAATACTCGGGCTTGATTGCCTGAAGGTTTTGAATTTATGTCGCTGTTCGGCATCCGAAGTAAAACAACATCTTAGTCCTATAGTCCATCACACTTACCAAGACATTAAATACTCTAACATGTGCGGCATGCTTCGAAGAGTTCCAATGGGCCCAGTTTTCTATAAGTACACTAGAGCGAACTCTGGCGCTAGTGTCTACGGGAGCTCAAACGCATGGGGCTTCAGCCGGCATGGGAATGGTCGGTGATACACCGATTTGTCTAAACTTGATTCTTTCGGCTTCGTTTGGCTCCGTGGGGCCTGAATCCGCTTTGTTGAAAGACGGAGTTGAGCAAACGTTCAGCAGTTCCACCTCACATCAATTCAAAATCGGCTAAAGAAGTTCGCAATACTTCTTAATCGAATCAAACAACAATTTACTAAACTAAGTGCGTTCCGATCCCGCCAGCCCAAAGACTAATGGTCTCATCGATTGGCAGATTCGAGTGGCCAACGAACTCTGCGCCGGAGCACTCCACTGTGGCGGAGGGCAACAAGAGGCAATCTACCAATGGAACACACGTGCTCCATTTGTTGCAAATGTCAGGGTCACAATAAATGCGATACGCTTGTCTCTCTTCTAGCTTGAGTGGGCAAGCTGCACACCGCGACGATACGCTAGTAACACGTGGGCTCAGACGCGAGGCGCTACCAACGCAAGCGACTGTCCGTTGACGCGCCCAAAGTTGACATTGTTTCAAGTCACAGGGCGCTTGCGACTTCCGGTCGAATCCGCCGATTTTCGCGGAGTAGAAAAAGTTGCTCCGTGGAGTGCATCTTTGCGACGGAGCTGCTCTAGATCTGCCAATGAAGCACACTGAATCTGCCAATGGAATAGACTTGCTCCGAATGGAAGCAGAAAAAGTATTACCGGAAGTGCTCCGAATCTGCCAAAGAATGACACCATGAGCAAATCCAGTGTACTACCCATCATTCCCAAGGTAGCTGCACGATCGCAGCGCATGAGTTTCATCTAGTGAATGCTGTATGAAACTCTACGCCACTGAGGTCCTTGGTTCGAAACTGATGCCATGGTGAACGGATGGCTTCACAGTCCAAGCAAACAGCACCTACCGAATCCTTCGGCGATAATGGGCATCTACAAGCATGGCCGCCACCACGACACCAACAGCTACGCGTGTGGAGACGAAAACGTGGCCTCCGTGATCAGTTTCTACTAGTACTGCCACAAGCAGCACTGAATCACCTAATATCAAGGTTGGTCTCGAAGTAAACTTTATTTACAGTGCGTGGCATTCGTAAGTGCTACGCTATCAACATACTCGCACTTTTTTCTTTTCCGAAATCCCAGCGGAGAACTTCGCGGCAATTTCGCCGTCACCAATTCGAGGCCGGTCATCAATCTTTTGTAGCGATGTCACTGAGCGCAACGCAGGCTTGGCTCGAGCTTTCGGGTGTTTTAAGTTAAACACGACTTCCAATTCAATTCTGGATGTCTGAAGCCATAACAGGACGGCGCTTTTGGGCCTTTTACTTTTCATTCGCTCACAGCAAGGCAGATGTCGATGCTATATTAATTTTCTTTTTCCTTTTGGGAGCTCGACTGTTCACAGCGCTTTTACAGCAAGTCAGCAGGCGCTGGTGTATACTGTGCAAGCATGGCTTGCACGACATGGCAAGAAGAAAAAAGGCGACACAAGGCTTGGTACGCGCAAGCCTTGCACAACACAATGCAACTTCAAAGACGGTGCCATTATCACGTAGGCCTATTCAGACACAACACAGCTCTTTGAGAGACAAAGAAAACAATGAACATGCTTATAATGCCACTTGAACATTGTTCAGTTTTGAAAGCGTCGTGATCACAGAAAAACAACAGCAAAAAGAAATGCATCCCCTCTTCACACTGAAGAAAAGAGACCGAAAAAACGAAGTCACGATAAAACGGCACTCACTATATACGTAAGCTCTGCGACGAAATAAACTGTGGTCACTTAGTCATTCACATTAGCCATGAACACCTCACAGCTGGCGGCTTTGTTTCTTTACAGTGATATTCAGATGAGGCGTTGACACCTCCAGCTCTGAACAAGTTCCGTCAGTGTTCCAACTGGGAAATATTCCGTTAATGAAACCACACACAGGAGCATTTCCTGAAACTATGTTCGGTCGACTTCTACAAAGTGCAGCGTAGGTAAGACATCGGTTCTTTGCCACACGCCATCCCGTGATCCTCGCATCTGTAGCATCAATTTGGCGCGCAGCCAGAGAGAGTCGTGCTGAATCGTTTACATCTTAAACTGTGTTCAAATGGCGAACACGAGGCAGACGAGAAACAGGGAGCTCCTTTGAGCGCAATGTACACGAGAAAAAATATGCACACTCTGGCAACAAGAAAACTTTAGCCGCTTGATGAGTGAGGTACAAAAAAAGCATACCTATAACGAAATGCTTTTATGCTCAGTTTTTATGTTGAAAGAACTGTAGCGACCGCTGTGGTATTCAAAAGATCTTGCAAAACTTTTCTCAAGGTTAAAATCACAACGAGCCTAGTTCAGCACCGCTATGAGGGGCCAGAATGGACTAGGCTTCTAGTAATTATGGCACGAACCAAAAAAAAATGTGCTCAGAAGGAGTCCAAAAACGCACTTGTGCGAGTTCACCACAACTGTGTGTAACGAGAAGGCGTCCTCGCGTAGAGGACCATTCCAACCATGTTGTCTGATGATGCAACACAGGTTTAACCTTTTTCCCAGCAGCGGCTTCGTAATCCACCAATCAACAATGTCGCTTGATGATATGGCATATGCCCCGCACCAACCGACAGCTCCCGTGCTAGTCCACCAGTCGACGATTTTCACCTTGACAATGATTTGTCACGTCAGATCTCCGGAAGTTGGTGCCACAAATCAGCTACGGCGCTGACTTCACAAGTCGGTACGGAGGATCATGCGCAGACCAGTCAACGATGCGACTAGATGATGCCAAGAAAGTCTCGAGGTTAAACTAAGCCGCAACTCACTTGACGTTCGACTTCACAATGGCACTGCAGGCGGGAACGCCCAGCGTAGGCCGACGGCCAATGACGTTGAGTGATGACATCACACAGGTCCAGATGCCTCGGGCCAGTCAGTGTCGTCAGTTCGCTGGCTGGCAAGGCAGTGCGGAGTTGCAAAGAGTGCGTCTAAAATTACAGATGGGTGTCTGAGTGGCTTGTGGTGGCTTGCTGCCGACGAGCTGGCTGCGGATAACATTTCAGGAGTTCAACAGCATTTCGGGAAAAGCTATAGCGGCCTTTGGGAGAGGTGCTGCTGCAGCGCCGACTGGGAGCCAGAAGAGGAACCGGAAGCTCCCGACGACGACGAGGACGAAGATGCCTGACCCAGGCAGGGACGCGGAGAGCCGTGCCTCGATGATGGCCCGGGCTGCTGGAGGAGGGCGCCACGAAACGCACTGCCCGCAGCACCACCGCGTGTTGCCACCGAGGACGACGCTCCGCCTGCGAATGGTAAGAGAAGAGCTGTCGAGCAAAAGTTGCACGGGATATTGCGAAAGAAAGAATTGCGCTTGAAATAGGAACCTGTAACTACACACGAAAAGGTGCACGTGTTGTGTACCCATGTAGTTGAACTCCATCATGAAACATTCAAGCACCGACAATTCAAAATGTTTGACCGAAGCATATGCGAGAACGTTGCCGAACTGAAACTGACTGAAGGCATCGCTGAAGTTGTAGCAACGGATAGCCTACATTATTTGCCGGCATTACTTGATTATTATAGTACCATTCAGCAAACAATGGTATATAGCGATAGCCGACATCTACGAATACACACTTCGCAAAAATCTGTAAGTTGGCTTTCTGTAAAAATTTTGCTCTTACCGAGAATTCTCCTCTATAAAATGAGTTTTACTTTTCGCTCTTATAGCACTCCCGTTTCCTCATTCCAATAAGTGTGCTCAACAATTACTTTTCAAAAATCAATATTTCTGAAATGTCACGCCTTCTATGACATTTAGAAACGAAGAAACGACATTAAGGAAAAAAACGAGCGCATTGAATGAACAACAGACAAAAAAAAAACATGGCTGATCCCCTTTATATAGGAATCGCTATAACACAAAAGTGAAACGTGTTTCTACAGAGGTGTTTGAGCACTTATTGTACACTGCTGCCGGAACAGCAACAAATTGGAAGGTCATGTTAAGAATGGCAAGCAGTTCAAAACTTCCAGTGCATACCTCAACAACTGTCACAGCTCGATATTTAAAGTGCGCTTTTCAAACAGAAAGACAGACACACTAAACAAGTGCACATGTATACACAAGACAAGCGCAAACAATTTCACAATTCTTCCATTGTCGCGTGTCAAGCAGCGCGCTCCACAAGACAAGCGCAAACAATTTCACAATTCTTCCATTGTCGCGTGTCAAGCAGCGCGCTCCTTTCGTAAATGCGGCCGCGGCATCGAGCGAAGTGAACTTCGTCCTCTCCCGAATTATGAGTATGATAAGCGCGCATGCAGGAGAGACCTCGTTCTGTGGAGGCGGGGCTCATAGAAACACGAAAGACGGCGGCCGCGACAAACGCGAGCCCATCGCGTCATCTCACTACTACTAACGCAAACGCCCTAAAGCTGCAGATCTCTGAGGATCGCCGCACGGTGTATGGTGTTTATGAATGGCTTGCCATTTGCAAATCCAAAAATGTACGCTTTGTGGCGCAATGGTTAGCGCCCCGCGCTGCAAATCGAGAGATTCCCAGTTCGAGTCAACGCGACAGATCGTGCCATCTCGTTTGTTTTTTGTTTTTTTTTTCTGCGCAATCTGTAAGTATATAATTTACAATGCCATATCTGTAACGGAAATACGTCAGCGAAGCTGTGGCGGACGCTGGCATAAAACAATTTTGTGTTAAAAATAGTCTGCCCTGCTAGCCATATTTCTTTGCATATGCGCAGTAACAGCTTGTTCAGTGCCAACTGAACGTACACGACTACTAGTAATCATCATCAATCAATATCAAGCAACTGAATCAACTGAAGACATCAAGGTAATTCAATACGAATCTCTCTCTCTCTCTCCAGCTCGTTGTGTGCGGCAACAAGACCGGTTCCCAATTATCTAAGTCTATGCATGACCAAGTGTTTAGTTGGTTATTGCGTTCAAGTTTTAGACCTTAAGACGCAGCAGAACGTTATGGGTAGCAACACTTGGCAAAAAGAATAATGCACGGTTGATCCCTCTGTCACAGGAATCAGCCTAACATGAAAGTGAACCACGTCTGCAGCGGAAGCACAGCTGATTGTTGATCGTACATGAATGCATGAGATCTTGCACAATGCCTATTTGGCATGTAGCAGTTATTTAATTATTTATTTATTGTATTCTCAAGGCCCGAGGGCATTACAGACGGGAGTGGTGAACTGGAAATCATACATCTAGGGTAGTAAATAACACAACAATGCAATAGAACAAGACTAACAAAAATAAAATAGCCCCATTAGAGGCAGGTGCATGCATGTTAACACGTGGTGGCATGTCTCCGTGCCGCCGACAACACCAAAGATCATGATTTAACACTTATGGCTGTTCAGGTAGTCAGCACACAGCTGGACAACAGAATCTCGCGCAAAGATGTCATCCATCCAGCACATAACAGCGGCACTCGATCTGTACCCCCTTCAATGAGTCATCAGGCATTTGAGGAGAGAAACGCGAAGGTATGTGCCACCCATGACCAGTGCCCATACGTATACCACAGAGCACTTGAGAAAACGGAGATGCTGGGTTAGTAGCTAGAGCCGCGAACGCGGGCAGGCGTTCCGCTTCCCACTAGCGTGTTTGTTTTTCTTTTGTTTTTTTTTTTCTGCAGGTGAAAGCTGAAACCACCAAATCGCCCCCTGTCGATGCTGGTTACTGAGTCACATGATGCAGTACTTCACAGATCCCAGACGGCGACACCACCTCCAGGATTATTGCAAAGGGATAGTAGGCGTGACAAACATGAGGCGCGCCTTTGGAGCCTCATGTACGGGCATCAGCGGTGCAGTGAGCAGAGTGCCCGGCTCCCTTCATCGTGGATCGAGAGGTCTCTGGTTCGACTACCAGTTTATCTAAATCAACAAAGTTTTTTCTTCCTCTTTCAATTTGTCATCTGCATTTCGCTAACGTGTTTAAAGCCTGTTAACGTATTATGCCAAGAGTTTCTTGGAGAACCCCGGCATCAAACACACTCGGGTTAAAAAAATAAGAGAGAAAAACAGGCTCTGCGAGTCGACAGAAAAGAGAACAGAAATAAGGATGTATTTTGTGATAGCACACGGCGAAGCACCCTGCTGTTTGAAGCGTAGTCGGGCTGCCTGAAAACCCGTGGTTATAAAACAAGAATCGGTAACGATAAAAGTACTTCGTGTGCATAAGATAAAGAAACGACATAACATGTTCTTATTAGAATGCGAAGATATCCAAAAGTATGTACGTTTGGGCCCCTGCCTAATGCATGAAGTTAGCGATAAAGTAAGCCGGATAATCAGAAACAAGATTACATATATTATTCTGTAAAATGCAGCGAGTTCGGTTATGAATATTCATAAGGCTTTATTCTTGAATGATTTAGTTGAGGTAGGCAAGACAACAGACCAAATTACAAAACTGATCTTGGCAATTCCCAGATCCCGTCGGGCTTAATCGCGACTGGCAGTGTATCGTGTGACACTGCTATTACTTTCCTTTGCCCACTAATATAATTCACCACATTAATTAGAGCGAAGTTATTGAAATACTGTCGAGCCTCGTACATTGCGCACACGACTCCCGGGAATGAGCAATCCTTGCCTTTTATTTCAAAAAAAAAAAAATTTCACAGTTTCGCCGCAAGGGCAAAGCAATGAATGCGATAGCAACTACTTGGAATGTAACGCTGAGAACGGCTAGCAGAACAAAACATGCAGCGCGCTGCTCACGCACAAGTGACGCACGAAAACAACACATACAGGACGAGAGGCTAACTAACAACGTTTCCAGCTCGACGCTTAACGCGCTGTTTAAACAAAAAAAGCATGGACCATCTCCCCAAAGGGAACCCTGGCGCGATGCAAAGCAGCAGTGGTGCGCACGGTGTTGAACCGGTTGAAACGGCGTCGACGCGGGTGCTGGAAGAACTGTTTTAGGCGAAATTCGGGGTAGCGTTTACTAGAGTAAATGTTTGTTTGAAACGCAAAGACACGGGAGGAGGGGCGCGTTGAAGACGCTTGCGCTTGGCTTCCTTGGCTCGCGTCTCGTCGGGTGTTGCCCATGCCCCGTGTCTAGAGACCCTTTCACTGTTTACAAACGCAGACCCTTGATAACATCCGGTTTCGTTCACCGATATGGCTTAATAGCGTCAATGGGTAAGAAGAGCTTTAGAAAATAGCCCGCTCAATTTCTGCACTTTCCTTCCCTTACTTGACGAAATATAATCAAATAGAAGTTCTTTTGAGCTACATAATATTTACAAACGATTTCCTTGTACCTTACGCTTGTTTCTTCTATGTGAAAAACGAGAGACAATTTTTTCTCACCCTTGAAAAAACTTGAAAACGCGCTTTCAGTTTAGACGTTAGGAGCGGGTAAATGAGGTGACCAGACGTTTTTTGTTTTTGTTTTTTGGCGGCGGAGGGGGGTACAACGCTTGTGACCTTGAAACCATCCATTCTCGACTCGCACCTCCTCGGCGTCGGTATTCTGCCAACGCTTGCGTTCGGCTTCCCTGGCTCGCGCCTCATCGGTGCTCCAGGCGCAACGTCGCCATTCGCGAACCTGATCGGCTTCCCTAATCCGCAACGCCGGCCGGGAAAAGTACGCGCACACTAGCGGGAAGCATTTCCCGGGGGCGTCCCGCCCGTCGACGTGTTCGCGCGGCAAGCATCGGCGCGCTGTCCACATTGCCGGAGCCGCGGGACCACGGCCGGGCTAGAGGGCGGCGCGCCTACCCGCGGCTTCTTCTCGCCGACGGATGGAGAGAGAAGCGGGTGAGACGATGCAGAGGTGAGAAGTGGGCTCGAGCATCGCGAGCGGTGGAGAGGCTGAAGCGAGTGAGATAACACGCGGCGAGCAGCGGCAGGCCAGGTACAGAGTGACGCCACGCTCGCGCACTGCGAGTGACGAGGCGTGGCTGTGGTCTACTTGGCGCCCGCCTCGGTGCGGAGGGACAGGGCTACACAGGCTAGTCAAAGAGCTGCTTCGCATCTCAAACGACGCACGAAACATCATCCCTTTCCCCTTTTCTCTTCAATGCCACACTGATTCCCTTAGCCCGCGCTCTTCACAATATCCCTCACCTTCACCACACCCTCTATGCAGACGACATCACACTGTGGGCCACCCACGGTAGTGATGGCGACATAGAGGAAACCTTACAAACCGCCGCAAACATTACACAACATCACGCACAAAGCATTGGTCTCTCCTGTTCCCCGGGAAAAATCTGAGCTGCTTCTCATACGCCCTTCACCACGT